TTAACCCTAACCCTACCTCTACCCCCAACCCTAACCCTACCCCTATCCTAGACCCCTACCTCTACCCCTGCCCGTATCCCTACATCTACATAGTGCAAACCATAGTGCTGCAAATCAATGTTCCAACTCTGTCGTTGTGAGAACTCCAGGCTTCTTCATCATTTCAGTGGAAACACATTTTCTCTGAGTATGTATACTTGGCTGACCAATCTGCGGCAGATCTAGTTCCAGATTGAGGAAGAAAATCAGACAAAACATCCAGACTCTAATGAGCAGCTGAAATTTGTTTTCAGCAAAAATGGAAAGAGAAACTGAAAAATTCCTATCTTCCAGTTTCCAAACCGTTGAAAGTGTTGAGAGGAGTTGAACCCAACCATGACTCTATTTCACATATCATGCATCAAGTTCAAGTTTAGCTCTAGATAAGTGGACTACTTATGTATTTGTGTTATTGCATCCTGGACGCATCCCTCCACAGTATCACCGTCACCGGTCTTTAAGAGAAAGAGGAAGTTCCTCTTGTTTTTGCCAAAAGATGTGCTGACTTTTCCCTTTTCCCATCTGCTCTAGAGGGACGGGGCAGTGTTTCGTAATTCAGACTTTGCTTACTGTTTCATTTCTACATGTTGAGGTCCCACATCTGACAGGCTACATAAATGGATTTCTAGCAAATCTGCATTACTCAGTCGTAGCAAACCAGAATTTCTTTTCTCCCTATTGAGCTATGCACAGATAGACTCTGGAGACAGTGGCAAAGAGTCAGTCCACAGTATTTGTCTTCACGACAACAGCTCAGTACAGGAACGGTATGTATCTTTTTCTATTTTTTTGGAAGATCACTGAACTGTGTGTAGAGAAACAAGAAACTATTACCGAGTATGAAATGGCCGCGGGCCAGAGCTGAGGGTGAGTGTGAGGGGGGGAATGTGTGAGGAATGGCTGCTAAACGGAAACAGCTGCTTCACTAAAACTTACCTCAAACTTTCCCCTTTTCTCCAGCGGCTCCACTTGGGCCTCGTTCAGCATCGCGGCGTTGCTTTTTGGGACGCTTTCTCCCTCCATCTCCTCCACCACCATCACCGTCTCCCACTTCCCAAAACTAGTGGCGGGGAACATGTCCGACCTCAGGCTGTCCCCGAAATACACAAC